CAAATATCCATGTCATTTGACGTCGTTATTGGACATCAAAATAACATTTGTCCTAGACATTAAATTTTGGTCAGCTGACATCGCAAACTAAATCTTACCTGATTATTAACAGCTTATGACATTGTGTGCCTGCTGGGCAATAACTAAATTCACTACAGTATGTTGTGTTTACACACATCCACAGATGACATGTAAATGCATCAACTTTTTATAGCATAATACTCTCTACTCCTTGAGTACTTTTAAAATGGCTTATTTTTACATACTTCGAGTAATATTTACAACAGATACTTTTACTCTACTCACACTACATTTTTATGCAAGTTATGGCACTTTTTGAGTGGTTTTGTTCAGTCCTCTTTCCACCACTGAATTTGACCACCCTGAAAAAGATAGAGCTGCTTACTGTACTTCTCTTGTATATTTGCTCTATTGCATTTGTCTAATCTTGCAGTTTGTTTATTATTGTACATGCGTGATTCACTCGCATACAGAATCATCCCAAAGAATCAATCTAAAATTAATTATTTCCAAATAGAGCTCTTCAAGTCATCTGGTGAAATTGTGCATACTAGGGTTGTCACTGGAATTTTAAAAACATCCATTTCCTGCCAACATTCTTGAACCACGTGTTCTTAAACAGTGCTAATTTCTCATTGTATTCACATGCTCAACAGAAATGACTGTTATTGGCTGTGAAGGTCATAGGTTTACCGAACTGACTGCTGTTTACTGATTACAAGCACAGATAGAGGGAAACTGGAGAGTTTTAAAGTCATGTCGATTACTGGTTTGTCTATAAGCAGACGTACGAGTCATCCGCTGATGAATCGCAGCTTTTAAAAATGCTCCAGTATCCCTGTATCTGTTGACACGCAGTAAATAGTGGAGTTCGGTGAACCGATGACCTTCACGGCCAATCACAGTCCTTTCTGTTGAGCATGTGAACACGATGGCAAATCAGTGCTGTTTAAGAATGTCCTCCACAGCACTCAAATGTCAACGCAATTCGTAACGTTTTGATTACGTGGCTAATTCGTATGAATTTGTACAATCTAACTTGTATAATTTATTACGATTTGCTCTTCACCCAATGACGGTTGGGGTTAGGTGCCACGCCTTTTTTTTTTTTTGTACATTTTCATACGTATGAATTTGTACAAATTAGCCACTAAACTGACAAAACGTCATACTTGTGTTTCCTCGTGAGATCAGGCTGAAAATGTTCGTGAAACAAACACTTATTTTAAAGTTTCAGTAGCAATCGGTACTGAATTCCAGTATCGTGACAACCCTAGTATATACATTGTATATTGCAATATATATTGCGGAAATGCTAAATATTCTAATGCTAAATAGCCCTAATATAGAGAGTATATAAGTGTTTCCTTTACTAAAATGTCAGTTATTCTCTTTAAAGTTAAACTCTAGTTATATTTTTACCATCTAAACATCAAGGTCCCATAAAGTAATCATACTTCGTAATAATACGAAAGCATAAACTCATGAATCCAAATTAATTAATCAAAAGCTGGATATTTCATCATGCTGAAGATCTTTGCGATTTTAAAACTGCATTTGCTGGCTTCTTAGAAATTAATTCACCATCAAAGAGACTTCCTTGTGAGTTCTAAACATAAGATAGCTGGTTGAATATGCTGGTGAATGTGAAATTATATATCATAAAATCGAGCGTGATAATGCATACGCTATGTGCAGAGTATGTTTCAGGGCCTCGGGCACACATATGATATACTTCGGATGGACACTACTTATTCTGCGACTCATGGGAATAACCCTTCACCTCGGATGCAGGGGGGGTTGGTTTCATATTCCACATCCTCATAATGGATCAATAAACATCCAGATCATATTTTAAAGCTCTTTTATAGACTCTAGCTTTACAAACACGTGTACACCTGGAGGTTTTTAAACAAAAGCTTTAGTTTGTGGTGTCTAAACTTGCAATTTTTTTTGTGTAAGTGTGTGTGAAAGTTGATGACCATCTGTGGGCCATGTTATCATCATCATCGTCCGCATTGATTTAGTCAGTGGCAGCGACACCCAGCGTTAGCCAATACTGTCACAAACCTGGATTAAAATGCACTCGGTGTAATTTCATGGGTGGGTTCCCTTTCACCCCTCGGCTGTGAGTTTCTCAAATAATACTGATCCGTGGCTGCATACGTACTCATTTATCACTCAAACACCTCCCGGTCAGCAGGACTGTCTGCTCGGATACTGCACATCACGTTGATTCTGTAGTTTGGCCTGACATTAGTAGCTGTAGAATGTAATTATGGTATCTTCAATTTCATTATCTAGAAAAAAGGACACGTGTAGAGTGATCTGCAGAGATATGCAAAAGAGTAATATTGAAATATTAAAAGTGAACCTAAAGATGAAAGGAAACATGACAAAAAATGTATAGTTAATAATGCATGATCCAGATTATAGTGTTCACTTAAATGACTTTCGCTTAACAACTTAATAATTTTTTATAATTTAAGTGGATTGAACATAAAACAATTAAGTTAGTTAATTTATTTGTGTTGGGACAACATGGATGAATTGTGTGGAACCCCAAGATTTTTACAGTGTTGTAAAACAATTGTGAACAATTGTGCTAAACAATTTGATGAAATCAAATGTTTTGTATCATTTATCAAATTACATTTACAAAAGAGATTTCATAAATGTACAATGTAAAAAATTGTTTGGTTTCATACAAATTGATTTTTGTTGGGACAACATGAAGGAATTAAGTTAAATTAATTGTTTTTGCTAATTTAAGTGGATTGAACAAATAACAATTAAGTTGGCCCATAAAAAGATCTGGAATTGTGTTTCAGTTAATTTTAGATAAGTAGTTTGAACAAACAGAAAATGTCATTTTCTGTGTACATATTAAATTCAAGATTTAAATGTTTTAATTGTAGTTTAAATATTTTTAAAAACATGTATTATCATTCACCATAACCTTAATGTTCAAATTAAACTATACTAATGCATTCTTACTAAAAAAAAAAAAAATATATATAATATATATATATATATATATATATATATATATATATATATATATATATATATATATATATATATATATATATATATAAATAAATATGGGATTGCATAACTAAAATTGGTTAAACGAAACCTAATTTGTGTTTGAAAGCTGCACTGTGATCCTTTAAGAGTCTTTTATTGTCATCATTTATGCTAATTCAAAATTGATTTGGTATAAACCTGGTGTTTTAATGGTGTTTTCTATAAACCTTGGCATAGTCTTATTTTTGTCCAAGTAAAAAAATAAAATAAAATGCAAAAACACTTGGGATACTTGAATGCTGCTTTATATTTTTGTAAACCGTGATAAAGTGCATAGCTTATATTTTGCTCCGTAAAATTAAAAATTTTTTAAAAATTAAATAAATTGAATTAAATAAAATGATTAAATCTCTAATGCATTGGATGCCTGAATGCTACGTTGTTGTTATTTTTGACCAAGCTACAATTATAGATAAAAATGAATCAAATGAAAATCTCTTTCTCTTAAGAAGAGTAAAATAGAGTCTTGTGTCGTCAAATAATTCTAATTCTAACTTCCTGACATAATTCCTAATAATAATAAAGTTTATTAAAACATAACACTAACACTTTGAACGCTTAAACTCTGCTACTTTGTTGCTGTTGTTTACAATAAACAGGAAAAAACTAAGCAAATAAAAATATATCTTTTAAAAAATAGTAAGATTAAAGAGTAAAATAATCCAAGAGACTTTTGTCATTAAATAATCGTACTTCTTAATTCTTGACAATTATTTGTTGTATTAACTTCACACTTTTTTTTTGTTAAAATAAATCAAGAATCGCAAACAATGGAAAAAACAAAAACAAAGTACAGACATAATCTGTGCAAGCAGAAAATCATGTGTTGATGGAGTAGAAGAGGTAATTTGATAAAGAAAAACAACAATATTATTGTCTTATAGCTTTAAATAAACTTCATAAAAAAACAACAACAATATGCACGCATAATACAGCTGTTATGTGTCAGTTAAATCAGTTGAAATTTGAACCCAACTGGTTGAGTTATTAATAAATAACATAAAGGTTAAAAATAACCCAACAAAGCATCAAATTTGTTTAATTCAACTATTCGGTTAAATAAATAACTCAAGGTTTTTAGAGCGTGCAACAATTTATCAAATAAAAATCTCTTTCTCTCTTAGGAAGTGCAAAATTAGAGTCTTTTATTGTCATCAAATAACTCTAGCTTTAAATTCCTGACAGAATTTATGTAATAAAGTTTACTGAAACATAAAACTAACACTTTTAAAAGCTCTCTTTTTTTTAAAAAAAATAGTAAGATTACAGAAAATAAAAATTCAAGAGTCATTTGTCATCAAATAATTCTAGTTCTAAATTATTGACTGTGTAAACTTGACAGTTTTGTGTTTTCTGTAAACCAGGATTTAAAAGTGCATACCTTCTTATATTTTCCTCACCATAGATAAATAAATGAAATAAATAAAACCATTAAATTGTAAATCTGTTTAACACTTTACTGTATTACACTGCTCTTTTTTTGTTGTTGTTTTTGATTAGCTACAATTAAACATGGAGAAATTAATCAAGTGAAATTCTATCTCTTAATAAAAGACTGTAATTATTTTGCTAGTCTTTTTGTCATAAAAATAATTGTAGTTCAAAATTCTTGACAGAATTTATTTTGTAAGAGACTTTTTTTGTAAATCGTGATTTAAGTGCAAAGGTCCTATAGTAATAATAATACATTATTATTATTATTATTATTATTATTATTATTATTATTATTATTATTAATTTTAAGTAAAAAATAGACCTATTAAACCTGTACAACACTTTGGATGCTTGAATGTTCCGTTGTTGTTTTTGACCAGCATGTAGCCCATATAGAAAATGAATCAAATTAAAATCTCTCCCTCTCCTGCATCCCACTATCTCTCTCCCTTCTCTCTTAAGAAATGGTCGGCTCACAGACAGTGATGCTCAGACAGACAGTGGAGCAGTTGGACGGAGGTTTCGTCGCAGTGTGCAGCGTTCATTCCTGACGTGCCCGTCCACATCTAAACCCACCGGAGGACTGGACGGACGGGCACTACATAACTTACGACCCCGACACTTTTATCCCGCTATGGATCCGCCAGCAGTGCTGCAGTAATTGGCGAGCTAGTGATGCCAGCATCCAGAGAGCATCTGTGTTGTCGTTTTCCGCGCGCGTGCTGAAAGTTGGATTGCGGATCGCTTTTTGTATACACCGAGCTTGAAACGGGATCCGAGCTGTTTTTTCTGACACCGCGGATGTGTCTGTGTTGTGTGTGGATGTGAAGACATCGAGTGATGCGTTTGCGCTGTCTATAACACCTTACAGCGATGTATGTGCGTGAGTGACAGTAGTTATAAGGCGAAAGCGATCTCGTCGCACTCGTTTATGCACATTTCGCTGATTCTGCTGAAAAAAACGTACATGAATTGACGGCACTCGCGCTTACCGACTTGTTTTTAGAGAAGATACTGAGGACTTAAACTGAGGAGAGCTGAAATATCGTTGTGTTTTGAGGGAAAAACACACGGGTTGAGCGCTTCGCGGTTGTTTAATTGGCTTCATGCGTTGATATTGAACTTGTGTTTTTATTTAAGTCATTTAATATGACCGAATGAAATAGAACACATCTGACATCATCAAACGTCATCTTTAGAGTGAGCTCGGGTACATAGGCGGCATTTCACTCACTTTACACTGCAGGAACTTTGAGTGAACGCTGGACAACCATTGAGAAGATGCTGAAAGGATTGTTTTGACTGCATTTGAGTGTTTCAGCAGACCATTCAAACGTCCATTCTCATAAATATCTACATCTATTTAATTATACACTTCAAGAACCATGGATATTAAAGCCGAATCTGATGATAATCTGGAGTGTCCGCGGCCTGCGCCCATTGAAGTTTTCGCCAGCAGGTCCACGCTTCACGGCATCTCTCATGTGTTCAGTTATGAACGCCAGTGTGTCAAACGGTGCCTCTGGGTCCTGTTTTTCATGGGTTCCTTCACATTCCTGGTGGTAGTGTGCGTGGACCGCATCAAGTTTTACTTTCAGTATCCCCATGTCACCAAACTGGACGAGGTCACAGCACCTTTGATGGCATTTCCGGCTATTACCTTTTGCAACCTGAACTCTTTCCGCTTTGGTCGCGTGACGCGAAACGACCTGTACCACGCGGGAGAACTGCTGGCACTGTTAAACGGCAGGTGAGTTATATACACGGGTTATTTTTAGTCAAAGTATTTTCTATAAATGTAATGTACATACTTCCTATGGTACCTGTGAATATCTTGAAGAAAGTGCAGCAAGCACCAAAGCTAGGTTACCTGGACCAAAAAAATGCTAACCATATATTAAAATAACTTTATAACAAGTACGACTTTGCAATATCAATCAGCAACTGACAGGTAAAGTCTAGATAGGAATACAGCTGTGGACACTTATGCGCACATCATAAACATACTCTTTTTTTTTTTTTTTTTTTTTTTTTTTTTTTTTTTTTTTTTTTTTTTTGTTACTGTAAAATAATAATTCTGAATATCTCACATTTACTTTAAATGGTGTACATTTAGTGTTGGGTATAATAGAACACGATTTAATGAATATTGGAATTAATATTAAGTCATCTCATTAACTTACTGCAGGAGCTGTATCCATTCTAGCAACAGGAAGTCTCGCACATTCATTCAAGTTAATTGGCATGCCCACTGTTCCACTGAACCCGTTTCAAATGGACGGGACTGAATAAATGAATGACTGAATAAAACACCTACACATCCTACAATTTACAGAATAACAGCACACATTTTTGCAGGAGTTGTTTGTCTTTTGACTCAGAAGTTATTCATTTATGTGCTTTTGTTGTGGATGACGACAGGAAAAAAATATGACTACCATCACCCTTATATGTTTAGAACAGTTTTAAATAGTAACTTGTTATTATGAAAGGTTACGATTAGGCATCTGCCAATCTAGGTTTCTGACAGTATGATAACCTTGGAAAAAAAAATACAGTTTCATGATATCACTGTATTGTGATAAGTTCTTTTTATTTGTCTGGGTAAAAAAACAACAACAACATTTTTCCCCATTAAACAGAATGTATTTTATTTTAGAAAACTATTGGGAAAAATTATAATATTCTGGAATAGGCGTGTAATAAGATTCTGACGGTATGATAACCTTGGATAAAAATTTCATGGTTTGACGATATTGTGATTACTGATACTGGAAAAAATGTTCCCCTTTGATCACAATATAAATATATTTTTTGAGAAATATTTTAAGTATTTTGGAGCAGTAAACCATGTCAGGCTAAATAATGAAAGTAAATCATTGTCTTCTGTCTTCAGTAGTTTTAAAAACATCGATGTCTTTACAAATTAAAACGGCATCTTTAGATCTCTTTTCTGCTGGAGATACTGTTGTCCTAAAAAAGTTAAAATAAAATTTTAAATATTACAATATTACAGAAAATGTTGGTGGTTTTAAAACCTTGACTCTTTCAAACCGAGGTATACAGGTACCTTGAAAACCGGTTATTGTCTTATGATTATTTTGAAGTGGTAAACATGCCTGGCTAAATGATTAAAATAAATCATTGACTGCTATCTTTATTAGTTACAAATGCACAGATTTCTTAACAACACATAAAAACGCATAAAAAAGGCTTACATATACAATACCTTAGGAACAGTATAACAGAATGTAAGCAGTTTTAAAAAAAGCTTGACTTTTAAAGCTGCAGTAAACATTGAAACCAGTTATCGTCCCATGCCTAGTCATGTTAAACAAATGTTTACAGACTGCTTTTAACATTTTTCCCAAATGTCCTTTTGTTTGTTTAATTTAACATCAATGATCAAAAATGCTCAAACCTGGAGCTTTAGCAAAAACATTCGTAATCGATTAAGGGAACGTGTGAACAGTTTTTACTACTCGTAAGCTCATTAAGTTAATACCAACATGGGGTTGCACCATAAATCCCTTTTTCTTTATTAATCCTTGATATATTTAAGTTTTATCTTCTCTCTCCATTTTTTTCTATTATTTGTTACCTCATTCATCATTCCAAGAAATTGTAGGTTCAGATGGCTTCTTTACCTTCAGATAACTTTGTTTCTGAAACAGGGTTTCACATTTTATGATCCATTTCTATCTCCATGTTTACGTTTTTGCTTTCTAGTTTGAACTGCTTTCTGAGGTGATTGACCCTTCGCTAGGTCATGCCCTCCTTTTACGCCTGTCAAGCTTTCATGCCTGGCACGTGTACAGTATGTATGCGCAGGTGTCATACATTCCCATGGAGATTATTAGTAATTTTTTGCCAATAGGAGAGATTTCAAAGTTAGACAAAAAAAGGACTGCAGTGTGCATGACAGGGGTATATTCATGACATAATATGCAACCAATTAGAGAATATTCATTCATTCATTCATTCATTCATTCATTCATTAATTCATTCATTCATTCTCTTTTCAGCTTAGTGCTTAGAACATGCAAAGTCCACACAGAAATGCCAACTGACCCAACCGAGGCTCAAACCAGCGACCTTCTTGCAGTGAGGCCATTGTGCTACCCACTGCGCCAATTTGATGCCCCGATTAGAGAATAAGTTAATTAAACTTGAAGCTACAGCCTAGTCGCCTCATACGCTGACCATTCAACAGCTTAGTTGATGCACAGCAGGATAGGTGAAATTGAAAAATCTAATAATAATGAATTAAACTTTTAAATGTTTTTTTTTTTTTGCCAAAAAGTGTGAGCCTAATTGTTGTGCAATAAAATGTTTTTCCCAGTAGCAAGTATCATCCGACACCAAATATAAAAGCAGACGCTAACCCTCTATAATGCTGTCACTAATGACTAAATCTTCAAAAGACAGATGAAAACGTCAATGAATTTGTACCTCTGACAGGGACATGAGGGTTTAAAATGACTGAAAAACAGCTGCGGGTGAAATGTATAATAATTGATGGCAAGCGCTTAGTTTGTGAACATATCTCTGTTTTGTTCTGTTGATATGTAATTCAAATATTTGTCGCTTGAAATAGATGGAAATAATTATGCTGCCTCCCACATGGTTTGATCCACGCAAGGAATTTCTCACCTTGGGTTTCAGGTTTTGGAACAGGAAAAAAATTCCACCACCCCATCCAAACTTTTAGGATACCGGGTATCAGATTTGCACGATTTATATGCACAATGTTTTTGGTTGTTTCCCTCGCTTGAAAGCTTGACTGACCTCCCGCGCCTATTTACACCTGCGATTGATCTGTGGCGGTTTTTAGGTGTGCCTTAGCGAAGGGTCAATTCTAAAGGCATTTTATCGAGGAAGTAAAAGCTTACATTTAGTAAACGTCACATCATTTATTATTTCAGAGACCGTTATGAAAACAGATGGAAATAATTGATCTATGGTTGCTGACAGAGAGAAGTGATGTCTCTCTCTCTTGTAGTATCTCAAGGATTCATGTTGGAATGATTCTCTGAAGTCTGACTGTTGTCTGTCAGAATTTGACGTCATGCGCTTAATGCAATCCTGTATTTTAGTTCCGACGAGAGCTGAAAATGTAAGCTGTAAACATCCTGCCTCGCTTGAAAATGAGGGAGAGTTAGAGCGTTGACTTGCCTGTCTGCAAATGAAAAATGATTTCATCCCCTCAGGTGTTGAAAGCCCCGGCGAGGGCTGAAGTGAATCATCATCGATTCGATGTAACTGATAACACCATGTGTTGTGCTTGTGGCAAAAGCGCAGCCATTAGAGAAGCAGAAGTTCTGCTCGGAGTTTGAAATCTTCTCGCAGGACTGTGATTGTTAGTCTGCGGTCGGAGCCGCTCCAGAACACATTGAACACATCAGTGTCCCTATTGGCAGTGCAATCTGCCTCATCGCTTTTCAATAACAACACGTTTGGATGGAATGAATAATTGATGCCAGGTTTAGATTTTCGTTGAAAAGTCACGCTCCACTAATATTCGCTTTGCTGGATTACTTTCTTTGCACGCATATTGCATTCGAAGGCTTTCCGCTGTGATGTTTATCCTTGAATAAATAGCTCATATGTCAATGCCGGATTGAAATAACATGCCTGTTCTTTGACATTTGCGTTTGATGTGTAAATATAAGTGTTTAGAAGTCTGAAATGAGCCAAGTTTGGGATCAAAGTAAGCAAGGCCGAAGAAAGTTTTGTGTTTTTGTGTTGTAAATGATTACCATTCAGCTATTGATATCCATTTAAGCAGTAACCATTGGTTGTTATTGTCAATCCTCAATGTTTTTAATTCCCTTAAGAAATGTTTCAAATATCTCTGTATGACCTCCGTGTCTAGGAAAAAACATAAGAGATTTGAAGGTCTTGGTTGCGAGTCTTCGTTGAGTGAATTATAGGGCACTTTTGAAGTACGTCAGTCCGACCGTTCACATCTTTTCTTTACAATGTCATCGGTAAGGAAGCATGACTGCTGATAGCACTCGGCAACCAATTGTAGCTCAATCGCCATGGGAACTGTGTGAGAACCTAGGCAAAGTTTCTACTACTAACTCTTCAAACACAGCCAACTGTTACTTAATGACCAGTCAAGATGACCAATTTGCATGCTATGAAGTGCTAAAATAGCATGCAGAGGTAAGTGCGCCTTATATCATAGGATGTTGAATACAGTGTGTTAAGTTCACTTGATTTATGATTTGGTGGATTTCCAACATGCAGCCTTTTTTATTTCTGGCTAGTATTCCACAATCTTTTGTGGGTGATGGTGTTGTAGGGAGGCACAGTGGCTCAGTAGTTTGCACTGTTGCCTCACAGAAAGAAGATCACTGGTTCAAGTCCCGAGTGGTTCAGTTGGCATTTCTGTGTGGAGTTTGCATGTTCTCCCCATGTTTGTGTGGGTTTCCTCTAGTACTACTGCACTATAGGTTAATTGAATAAAGCAAATTGGCTATAGTTTGTGTGTGTGTGTGTGTTTCCCAGTACTGGGTTGTGGCTGAAAGGGCATTAACTGCGTAAAACATGCTAAAGTAGTTGGTGATTCATTCCACTGTGGTGATCCCTGAAATGGAGACTAAGCTGATGGAAACTGAATGAATGAAGTGTTGTAGTAAATGTGTGTCAAATAATGCAACAAATCGCTGAGGGATGTGTATTACACTCTAAAACTGTTGGGTTGTCAACTCAAATTTGGGTTAAATATAGACAAGCTTAAAG